AACATGGTCTCAAGTTTCCGACGTGCATGGTGCGAAAACTCTATGCCGTGAACATGTGATTGAAACCCTAGCTATATACCAAACACATCCAAAACACTGCACGCCTGACCTGTTCTCTGGTTCACGCATGGCCGGCCGCGGGCTGGGATCTGCGAGGACTCGAGTCCAAGGCCCAAAGCATCTCAAAAGGCCCACAGCTTTTTCACAGAAAAACATGGTGAACAGACCCACGAAAAAACACACGCATCTCAATGCCGGCAACACTTGCGGTCACCATCAAAACTTTAGATGTCAGACCCAAAAAGGGATCCCAACAATCACCAAAGTCTTGCCGGTAACACTAACTCCGAAACAACGCGTGGTGTATATACACACAAAATACATATGTTCCTTTAAGAATTGAAGCGCGCGTGATGAATCTATATCTATCTCCAGCCAACACTGGCAGGATAAGCCTTTTGACCATGATAGCCCTTAAAGCTTATCTTGTCCACATTCCATGGCAAAGTTAAGCTTTCTAGCTAGAAGGCTTGAAATGTAACACTCTCGGCTCTCTAGGAAGGACAAGTATGAGTTTGAATCTCCGCTGGACCCGGAGCTTTGGGACGCATGGTTGCGAGCAGCGGCTGACCCGGAAAAGCACCTGGTAGAGTGGATCCGCAAAGGGGTGCCCCTGGGGATGAGCAAAGAGATACCCTGCTGCGGCATCTTCCCGATGGCGGACGACCCGGAGCTGGACATGGAGGAGATGCCGGAGCTGGCGGATCAGTTGGGAGCGGTCAACTACAAGTCCTTCACGGAGGAGCCGGCGCACGCGAGAGCAGAGCTGAGCAGGCTCGTGGAGGAGGGATTTGCAGTGGTGCTCCCAACGGCAAAAGCGCAGGACATGCACAAGAAGGGCATCGTCTCGAAGCTGGCCTTGTTGATCAAGAACAAGGACGACGGGAGCGTCAAAAGGAGGATCATCATCGACCTGCTCAGGTCGGGAGGCAATGCCAGGTGCCACGTGCCGGAGCGGATCGTCCTGCCCAGGGTGGTGGATGTGATCGATGGCTTCAGGTATTTGTGGAGCACCAGGGACCGCATGAAGAGCAAGTCGAGAGATGAAGAATGGGAATTAGATGAGGATCGACCAGAAGGAGGCATCTTCGACTTCGAGCTGGTGACGGCAGATCTCAGCGACGCCTACTGTCACTTGCCAGTGCACCCCGAGGAACACCCAAATTGCTTGAGCCCAGGATTGCACCAATCTGAAACGCTCATGTGGGTCGCAATGTTATTTGGCTTCAAAGGTGCACCTCTATTAATGGGCAGGTTTGCAGCGTGTCTGGCACGGATCTGGCAGTCGCTGATAGCTCCATCGGAGATGCAGAGTCAACTGTACATGGATGACCCCATGTGGATTCTTCGCGGTCCGACCTCACGACGGAACAGGAATCTGGCGCTCTTGCTCTATACAGCGAGAGCCCTAGGATTGAACCTGGCATGGCACAAAGGTTCGCGGGGGTCACAGTTGACCTGGATCGGAGTGATGTTCGAGGTGGTCCAAGCAGAGGCTGTCATCAAGCTCACCGTCCCCAAGAAGATGATGGCGGAGGTGTCACAGGCGCTGGAAGCCTGGGAGTCGAAAGGGATGGTGAGCTTCAAGGAGGTGCAGCAGCTGACGGGAAGGCTATCATGGATAGCGGGCATCCTCCCGAGATCACGCTGGGCTGTCTCGATCATGTATGCGGTGCTCGCAGATGCCAAGCGGACTGAGAATGAGGAAAAGAAGAGGGCAGCGAAACGAGTCGACCAGCGACCGAAGGTCGGACTCATTGCAGTCAAACGCTTGGAGCTCCCGAGACGTTGGTTCATCACCTTGTTCAAGGAGCCGGAGGTACTGGCACTGAGGAAGGAACCAATGGTCGAGCTGCTGCCGGACTATGCCATTGTGACGGATGCGAGCCCTCAGGGAATCGGTGCTCTCCTAGCGACAGTGGATCACAACATGGGACCTTCCTTCACCATCCTGGAAGGGTTGGAGATCCCGCTTGAGGAGGCTGATGCAAAGTGGCTTGGAGTGCCCTGGAAGGAGTCTGCATCCCAAGGTCCACTGGAAGCATGGGCGGTCAAACTGGCGGTGAAGCGGTGGGCCAACAAGTTGGAGGGCAAGAGCATCGTGTTGCGTAGCGATAGCGTAGTGGCCCTGGCTATGACCAAGCGACTTTCATCCCCCTCCCCGGTGGTGAACTGGGTCGGTGCTGAGCTGGCAATCAGGTTTGAGCGAGCCGGCATCAAGCGGGTGGTGACGCAGCACATCCCAGGCAACTGGAATGTCGAAGCGGACTGGCTTTCGCGACCTCATGACCGAGGAGAGAAGCCTGAGCGATTGCAGAAGGTGCCAATCAAGTCTTTCCCAAGGAACTTGATGCACCGATCGTACTTGTCTCCCCCCGGGATGGCACCACAACTGTGGGGTGCATCGGCCCAGCAGGTCTCAGGAGCCTTCGAGCTGCTTTGAAGGGATGAGGATGAAAAACTTTCGTCGCTCATTCTCGGCTTGAGGGGTGAGGTCTGAGCAGGTCGGGAGACGGGGGGAGGGGGCGCGGGGTCGAGTCGAGCCGCGGTCGTGCGTCGATCCCTCGGGTCGTTGAGTTGCAGTGCTCGTGAAAGCGCCGGGAGAGCTCACGATGGCTCAAGTGATGGTGAGGCCCGACTCTGCCGTAGCGGCAGGGGATAGTGCTGCTGAGTGGTCCTTTGGCGAATACGCAGTACTCGCCGGGTGGGCCTTCTTCGGGCTGGGCCTCTTGAAGGGCGTGTGGGAAGCACTACGTTGGAGCTGCTCTCCGCGGAAACCAGGGAGCGAGGAACAGGCGGAGAGGACGCCTACCAGAGTATGCTCTCAATGCGGCAGGTCAAACGAAGAGGAGCAGCCGAGACGGGAACAATCCCCAAGGAGAGAAAGCTCGAGGAGGCGGCAGTTCAGTGTCACGCCAGAGAAGAAGACATCAGAGGGGCCAGAGTTGGAATCCCCAGGGAGGTCACCAGAAATTCAGCGGGCAAGAACGCAGATCCTCGAGGCCATGGTCCAGAGGGCTCAACCGGTGGTGCAAGACTTGCACGGCATGCACCGCCTTGGTGGAGTGGGGCCAGTGCTGCGACGTGGATCCCGCATTCAGTGAGCTCAAGGAGAACGCTGGGGGTTGTGGGCTTTGGCTTCAAGAACCCCTCGAACTGCATGGAGGAGCTAATTCGGAATAGAGTGCACGGAGAAAATCACCATTTTGGTGTCAAGAGTCCATCGGAGCAACCGGAGGTGAAGCACCGAGTTCAGGCACCCACACAGGAGGAGCAAAAGGTCAGTGGGAAGTCAACGAAGAAGGGCTCCTTTGATGAGGTCATGGACATCCTGAAGGAAAAGGAGAAATTGGCCAAGGCTAGGCAAGAGTTGAGGAAAGACTTCATGGCCGACTCATCCAGGGCCTCACAGAGAACGAAAAGGGAACAGGTGTTAGCAATGGCTGCGGAAGCTCGTGACCCAGGAGCTGAAACCTTTCCACTGAAGACAGAGACGGTGGAGGCAGTGGCAGCGGCGATAAAAGCTGTGGGCTGGACGTCGGGAGATCAGTACATCAATGAGCTGAAGCTGATGCACATTGAGGCTGGATGGGACGTGAGTCAACAGCTGAGCAGAGCTTTGGCCGACTGCAAGCGATCTCTCCGAAGGAACAGAGGCCCAGTGAAGAGAGCGCCTGAGTTCAGACTGGAAGACATTGAACAGATGAAGTGGATCCTGACGTGTAGAGGTCCGAAGAAGGTGGCGAGGCCAGCCCTAGCATACGCCTGGGCAGTCGTCTGGATGCTGAGAGAGATTGAAGTCAGTGCCATGAGATGGAGGGATGTCTCAGCAGACTGGAGTAAGAGAAGAATTTCCATTTTCATCCCCGTCTCGAAGTGCGACCAGCAAGCCCTAGGTGTAAGAAGAACGATGCAATGTTGTGCCTACAGATCCTGCCAAAGATGGTGCCCGTGGAAGGTGTGGGTGGAACTATGGAGAGCGCTACGTGGAGAGCAAAGAGACCCACATGAGTTCATCTTCCAGGATGCCGAAGGCAAGAAATTGTCAAAGGCGAAGATGGTGGAAGGTTGGGCCATGGTGACGACCCCTGACATTCAAGGACACTCTGCACGACGGTCTGGAGCCATGGGGTACGTGCGACTTGGCATGCCAATCCAGGAGTTGGCCTTCCTGGGACGGTGGAAATCCTCTGTGGTGCTCAACTATGCCGAGGACGCACTACAGACGGAGCCAGCGAACAGAAATTTGAAGCGTGAAGGGGACCACAAACCCAGAAAACAAGATAGGAAATTTGAAACCACGACGAAAGAGGAACTGAGCACGCTTCCGGGACTTCCCGAAGGGCCAATGGAGGGCACAGCAGAAGGGAAAGAAGGAGACAAAGAATCGGAACAGTGCAAAGTAGTGGTCACATCCCTGCCCAAAAAGCTGTGGGTCGCTTCGACAGCCTACAGCTCAAGAGAGCGCGTTTGGCATCAGGTGGAAGATGCTGGATGGGATGTGCCGATAGAGGCCTGGACTTCGATTTGCGGATGGCCGTTTAGCAGGAATTCATCGAAAGTCATCCTCAACTCGCAGTTGACGGTGGCGCAAAGGAAATGCAAGAAATGCATAAAGCGAACTTGCGGCGGTGCCAGTGAGGATGGTGTGGCAAGTTCAATGAGACCAGCAGTTTGAAAGACTGACCAGAATGGTCAGATGACAACCGACCAAAACAAGCCCGTTGAACCCTCTGAGGTTGCTTGTGTATAGGAGGGTGGGGGGGCCTGTGTTTCCCAAGCTCTGGTTGTCCTATCCTAATCAGCCATCATCAACTGCACTTGGGCTGCAATTCTTTGGTGTTGAGGAGTCCGTCCCGGGACATGCCAATAAAATTGATAAAGCCTGACCTCACTTGTACAAGCAGACTCCTAGCGGTTTGAGGCCTCTCCTTTCCCAGGATTGGTCAAAGGTGGCTGCACCAGAGCTCCAGAAGCTTGAAGGTGCTGCACTTTTTGACCGCCCGGAGCGGTTTGTCTGCAACTTGTCACCTTTTGCCTGCAAACTAGCTGGTATGTGTCTCGCGGTCCAAACCTCATTTTTCTGGACTTCGCTGGTGGTGCAGACGCATACGACGCGGCGCTGAGGGGTATGCGTGTCGGCGCCAGGCACTGCCCCGGCGCCCGTGGAAGAGAAGCCCAAGGACCGCGGATGAAGCCGGGGATGCTTGGGAGAATGGCGAACGATGAAACGGTCCATGGGCATTTTTCGGGGAGTAGGGGTCTCATGGTGAAACAGAACAGTAGGAGCCGCTGAAGTGGTAGAATTATCTATAAAATTATATAACAGATTCATTTCTGTGATCCAAGAATACTGAAAGTTGCATTGAATTTGTATCACTTGTAGCTCAGCTCACCACACGCCCACAAACCAGACAGCCAGCAGTCCTTTTCGACTTTTGCAGCTGCAGTTGCAGGAGCTGAGCAAGAAAGAAAAGAAGAAGCTCAAAAAGGACCCCGCACTCTGCGGTGGCCCGAAACGGCTTATTTCAAGGAAGAGAACTTTGAAACTTTGAATAGATGTTGTTTGAGCCTGCATTTGCTATTGCACTGAGGAATTCACTGGAGTTTACAATAATGATTATTATTTCAATTATTACTATATACTGTATATATATATATATACATATTCTTTTTGCTGAGGCAGGCATGAGCTAATGACCAGCAAAAAACATCGTGCTGTTCATGTCCGTGTCACGGCAACGCAGAAACAGGAGCGAAAGCGAGAGAAGAAAGCTCGCAAGGAAGCGAAAAAAGCCGAGAAGGCTGGGAGACATTTTTTTTGCCAAAGCTTGCGAGCTACTGAGTTCTCAGGCAACTCTCGGTGCAACTCATCTTCTCCTCCATGTGTTTTATGTTTCAGCACAGATAAAACAAGCGTGGGTTGTTTCTTGATTTCGGCTCATCTTAAGCTTGGGCAATGGCTGAATCATGCCGTTTCATCTCACCTTTCTTCATCAGGTCAGCGTAGCGTGCATCGACACATCATCCTTCACCACCTTCGTGTTGCTTCATCTTCGCCTGACTGTTTCCACGTGTTCGCCGCTTAAAAAGGGTTGAAGCATTCGCAAGCTGTTCCATCTGGATGCACACTTCCAATCTCTACTTGCCTCGTCCAGTCTGGAAGACTTGGAGCTTTGTCAGGTTCGCTTCTGATCTTAGAAGTTTTTTTTTTTTCAGACCACAGGAGCATCCCTCTGTGCGAAACGCTTCGGTCGGTTCCCTCAGCTTGTGTGGTGATGCTTGATCGCATCCCAAACATCACCTTATTATGATTGATACTCCATCACTTTATATCACTCAGTTGGTGACCCAGCATGCACTGTGGCTTCCCTGTATGGGAATGGCTTCAAGCGAAGTAAACCTCCCAATTCCAGTCTCAGGTTCTTGCAGTTGTGTTTTCAACCCATGAAGAGGGGATCTCAATTTGAAACCGACACGCAATCATACAGACAACGTCTCTTACTCTTCAGTGCAAAACTTCCAGGTCGGGCTTTCCACTCTTGAATCGACATGACCGATGAAATGACCTATGAACCTTGACAGCCACGCGACTTTCCACTGCACCAGGCCCTCGCGAAGATCGAGAAGGCGCAACAACAGGTGCGGACGTCTGAAGGGCGATGCTGAATGTCTGAAGCTATGAGGGATTGGGGGTCCTTTCTGATTTGTTGGCCCGCAAAGTTCCGGGTTACGCAGTCAGAGGTTCTGAAACATATCCGTCAACTGAACCTAGTATCTAGGCATGTCCAGCTCAAGTATATATAGAGTGACATGACCCTCGCGAAAGACGAACACCTTTTGCTCCTCAGTCCATCACAGGCGGAGCTTGCGGCCAAGCACGCTAATGAGGAGGAAGCTGAGGCTGGGAGAGCCTCAACGACAGGGACGGGGGCTGCGGACCACCAAGAAGGTTGCAGGAGCCGCGCGTCTGGAATTGGGGCACCTAGTGACACCCAGTCACGTGGACTGTGTTTGATGGTGTGGCGAACTGAGAAAGCCAGTAACCACTTCAAGGTATTCCTTATTTGACCTTGGGGCACCCAACCGGACGTCTATGGACTTTTGACATGTTCGACACAGGAAAGAATGAATGCTTGCCGCAGCGGCTTTGAAAGGCCTGAAATCAATCCTCAAAATGAAGCTATTAGAAACAAGTGCCTTACTAGTAGTAACAAGAAGCTATTAGAATTTAATTGGTGGAACCATATGTTCGGCCCGAACTTGGCGGGTCTGATGATTGCGATTGTTCCTCAGGCATCCAAGCAGATCGAAGAGATCGAAGCCGAGCTGGCGGCCGCCGAGGTGAGACGTTGTGACTGACCGGAATGGTTTGGGGATTTGGATTGGTTTCGATGGAGTGAGGGTTGAAGATGGTTTAAGGTTTTAGTATGATCTAGCATGGTTAGGTTTTGGCATGAAAATTGGATCTACTGGTAGCATGATCCAGCTTCAGGCCGGTCTAGCCACTCTTTCGGGAAAAGATGGCTTATGTTCCTTGGAATATGAAGCTTCCGCATCCAGAGGTTCATGTGTCCGCGGCCGAGGTTGTTTCCCCAGTGTTCCCATATCGCCGAAGATGACCTGTGGAGGGTAGGGCCATCCCCTAGCGAGTCCAGCGGTTTTGGGGCTCGACGATGGAATGCACCAAAACTTACTTCTTTCATTTTCTTTCTATTTTTCATATTTGTGTGTGTTCCGGCAGCTTTTGCTGCATCTTGACATGTGTTGGACAGAGAGCACCTTCGGATGGTGTTCTACAGCCATGTCTCCATGGACACAGACTTGATTCCTCAGCACAGTCATACAGCTTAAGCATCCCAAGATTTTGCTCCCTCTGGGTTTCCCACGCCTGCTGCTGCTGGGGTCTCCGATTCCTGCCTTTGCTTCCACTCGACGTTCGCAAGCTCCGAACACCCCTGTGGCAGGCTGCTGCCGCGGAGGCGGCTGAGAGTTCTGAGGAGGACCCCGAAATGGCCACTGGGCGCGGTCAGCAGTCCCCCAAAAGATCGTGTCGGGTCAGTCAGATCTTTTTCCTCCCAACTTTATCATTCCTGGGACCGCAGTGAAAACGACCACTGGACCCTAACGGTCCTTCGTGGCAAAGGCACTTGGCTGCCCATTCTCACGGAATGGGCATGAATTCCCCAATAGCCATGCTATGGGGTTTTGCAAAACTAATAGGCGGACGGGCGCCGTCGGGTCACCGTCAGAGCTGGTGGGCGGATGGTGTCCCGGTCATGTTTTGATGGCGTCCGGGTCATGTGATGCTGGTGTCCCGGTGTCCCGATCATGTTTTGATTGTGACCCAATCATGTTGTGATGGTGTCCCGGTCCTGTTTTGATGGTGTCCCGGTCATGTTGTGATGGTGTCCCGGTCATGTTTTAAAGGTGTCCCGGTCATGTTGTGATGGTGTCCCGGTCATGTGGTGATGGTGTCCCGGGCATGTTTTGATGGTGTCCCGGTCGTGTTGTGACGGTGTCCTGGTCATGTTGTGATGGTGTCCCGATGGTGGCGCGGTCATGTTGTGATGGTGTCCCGATCATGTTTTTATTGTGTCCCAGTTATGTTGTGATGGTGTCCCGGTCGTGTTTTGATGGTGTCCCGGTCATGTTTTGATGGTGTCCCGGTCATGTTGTGATGGTGTCCCGGCAATGTTTTGATGGTGTCCCGGTCATGTTGTGATGGTGTCCCGGTCATG